CTTCCCACCATGATGATCATGGTCTCACCCTCTGAAAATGTAAGCAGGGCCCCAATGAAATGCTTTCTTTTGTAAGTTGCCTTGGTCAGTGTCTTTTCTTTTCTTTTTTTTTTTTTTTTTTTTTTTTTTGGTTTCTCGAGACAGGGTTTCTCTGTGGCTTTGGAGCCTGTCCTGGAACTAGCTCTGTAGACCAGGCTGGTCTCGAACTCACAGAGATCCGCCTGCCTCTGCCTCCCGAGTGCTGGGATTAAAGGCGTGCGCCACCTCTGCCCGGCGGTCAGTGTCTTTCACAACAGAAATGTAACGAAGGCCAGAAGCAAACAGATCAAAACGGCTTTCAGAGTCCCACACTCTGGGAAAGGGCGGATGTGGAGGCAGCCTGACTTCCGGCTTCACTTCTCCAGTATCTTAAACACAATTCTAGGGGAGCACACGAGTCTGTGTTCTGCACACTGTGGACGATGCTATTATGTGAAAGGCTCAGCTTCTAACAGAAGTGGAGGAGACCCTGTCCACCATCATGGACACAGTAGCAGCACCACTGAACGTGGACTCTGTGTGTAAATCCTCAGGCTATGCTCTCCCTGCATCCCAGCTTGCTGAGGCTCTGGGTGGTACAGGCTGGCCTGGAATCACAGAAATTCGCCTACCTCTGCTGACATTAAAGTTGTGCACCACTAAGCCTGGCTTCTAGATCCTTTTTGTGAGAAAACTTTTGGTCAGCCCCTGGGTCACCTTGGCCTTAGCCCTCAATTTACCATGTGACTCCAGCTGGTTCATCATCTGATCCACTAAGCTATCGGTTGGTATTTGCTGCAATACACCATAAGGAAAACAAGGAAAACTGTAATCTGCAGGACTGGACGTAAGCAGACCCAAGATCACAGCGTCACAAAGGCTCCTGCTCTCACTCCTGCAGCTGGGCCTTCTCCTTGCAGCCTCCACGGCCTGGGGCCCTGAACAAGCAGTTCACAGAGGAAGATAAAACAGGCACCACCTGAGGGTGCTGGCTGTGACACACAGGCCCGCCCTAGAACATTCCTGAAGGACAATCGCTCTTCTTAGCAGGCAGAACTTTGAGCAATGAACCCAATGGTACATTTTGTTTGAAAGAAACAAAAATGGACAAATATGCAATTATATACTGATTCCTGTGCTGTAGCCAATGGCTTGTCTGGACGGTTGGCTCCTTAGAAGGACTTGAATACTGGAGAGAAAGACAACCGAGGAAGTGTGTGGACGGCTCTCTGTGACCTCAGCAGAGGGTTTCAGTGATCTGCTCTGCAGACAGTTAACAACCCCAATCTCCTTCTTCTCGTCCTCCTTCCTCAGTTACCCCTGTAATTGCCCAATGGATTCATGAACAATGTGGCCATGGTGGCAGAGATGGCGGTTATGCAAGGCTTCAGTAACACAGACTTCTCACTTAGCAAGGCTGATCTGGCTGTGGCTCCTGCTAAGTGCCCATCTGCCAGCAACAAACCCAAGACTGAGCTACAATATGGCAGCAGTCCCTGAATGACCAGCCTGAGGCCTGGGGGCAGGTTGGGGACACCGAATTGCTGCATCATCACATCCTTATGGGAACAGACACTTGTTCTGAGTGTGGCTTTCCCAGCATGGAATGCGTCTAATCAGTACTGCGCTGTATGGACCACAGCATGGAATGCGCCCATCAGTACTGCGCTGTATGGACCACAGGATGGAATGCACCCATCAGTACTGCACTGTATGGACCACAGCATGGAATGCACCCATCAGTACTGCGCTGTATGGACCACAGCATGAACTGTGTCCATCAGTACTGCACTGTATGGACCACAGCATGGAATGCGCCCATCAGTACTGCGCTGTATGGACCACAGGATGGAATGCGTCCATCAGTACTGAGCTGTATGGACCACAGGATGGAATGCGCCCATCAGTACTGCGCTGTATGGACCAGAGCATGGAATGCATCCATCAGTACTGAGCTGTATGGACCACAGCATGGAATGCATCCATCAGTACTGCGCTGTATGGACCAGAGCATGCCTCATCCACAGGAAGGGTATTCCACAGAGCATGACTTCTGAGCAAGGACTCACTCAGTAGGCTTATGACTGTTAGATTAATGGGTCTTACCATGGTCTCATCATCATGAGAGTTGGCTTGACTAAGCAGTGAAATGGCCTTTTGAGATTAAATCACAGTACCAGTTGGGTGGCATTAGGTTTCTGGGCTGAAACAAGGTTGTCTAGAAAGTTGAGTCTACTCTGAATTGGAATTCGAAAACCACGGAGACCAGACATGGGCCCAGGAATCGAGGGGTGGAATTAAGAATTGCATTACTATCACCTCTAGTTTCCAGGACACTCTGCTCTGCTGTCCTAGAAGCCTTGATTTCGGGGAGGGAAACTCTTCCATCAGGACCACTACAGTGGCCCCACTGGGCAGCTCAGACACTGTCTGTCATTTGGGGCCCTCAAGCCTGTAGGTCAGCAGGTTAGGGAAGAAGCTATGGTGTTGACTGAGGTGAGCACCCTACACTACCAAGGAGGACCGGATGATCACGCCACAGTGGAGGTTAGGAAGATCCGGGGGCATCTCTAACCACAATGGAGGTTAGGAAGATCTAGGGACATCTCTAGTAACATTCTCTGATTACAGTCAGTGGAGCCAGATATGGTAGAATATTAAGTATTAATTTCCTTTTTTAAAAAATACAAGAAATGACATTTTATTTTTAAATTCAAATATATTTTTAGTGAAAACACATGTCCCTTTACTGAGCACTTACAGACTCTTAGGTTCTGTATAAAATGACAAAAGTTTAGCCAGGAGGTGGTGGTGCACACCTTTAATCCCAGCACTCAGGAGGCAGAAGCAGGCAGATCTCTATAAATTTGAGGCCAGCCTGGTGTACAAAGCAAGTTCTCAGACAGCTAGAACTAAACTGAGAAATTGTCTCGAAAAATTGTTTATGCTCTTCTAGAGCAGAATCTACTGCTGTTCTCCACTTGTTTTGGGTTTTGGTTTTGATTTTTCGAGACAAAGTCTCATTGTGTAGCCCTGGCTGTCCTGGAACTCATTCTGTAGACCAGGCTGGCCTCTAACTCACAGAGATCCTCCTGTTTCTGCCTCCCGAGTGCTGAGGTTGCCCTGGCCTCCACTTGTTTTCGCAGGAAACTGAGGAATGACATCTTCAAGGTTGCTCAAGACAAAGATTTCTAACCGAGGGAGAGCTGTCACAGTTAAAGCGGAAGTCTGTCATTGTTGTTTCTAAAGTCACTACTTCCTCTTCTCCCTCCAAAGCCACTACTTTACCTCCCCTGCTCTTCCTGGACTCCACCTGCCACTGCGTCTAGCAGGGCCTTTCTCACCTGGAGGAGGAGACGGAAATCTCTGCAGTGGCACCAACTTTTAGGGGTCTATACAAAACTGCTGTCATTTTTAAAAAGTAAGCTATCTTTAAGTTTTCTAACAATTTAATTGAAAAAGAAATCAGAGTTTTTTCCATTTGTCCTTTGTTTTCTACATAAACAGAAGTGTTGAAATAAGGCACCTTGAGCTTCAGAGAAGGCTCAGTGATTACGAGCCCTGGCTGCTCTTCCAGGGGACCGGGATTTGATTCCCTGCAACCACTCAGTGGTTCACAAACATCTGTAATGGCGGTTGAAGGCCCGTGCCCTCTTCTGGCCTCTGTGGGCACACAGGTGGTCCAAAACACTCATACACATAAGATTTTTAAAAAAGAAAAAATAAGCCAGGTGGCGGCGGCACACACCTTTAATCCCAGCACTCGGGATGCAGAGGTAGATGAATCTCTGTGAGTTTGAGCCAGCCTGGTCCACAAGAGCAAGTTCCAGGACTCCAAAGCTCCAGAGAAACCCTGAACGAAAAACCAAAACCCCAAAACAAACAAACAAACAAAAAGAAAGAAAAAAAGAAAAGGCACCTTATTTTGTCTTCTACTCTTCTGTCAGATAACATAACATTGGCTATGTATCACCAAATCCAGATTAAAGTGCTAAAGTTAGGACATCAGAAGAATGAGCACCAATTAAAATGTCACCTGGGCGAGGTGGTGCAGGCACTGGGAAGGCTGGGGCAGAATTGCAATTGCGAATTTGAGGTAAGAGTGGGCTGCAGAACGAGGCCTTGTCTTCTCGTTTGGTTTTTGTTTTTCTTCAGACAGGGTTTCTCTGTGTAACAGCCTAAAACTCACTCTGTAGACCAGGCTGGTCTCAGACTCACAGAGATCCGCCTGCCTCTGCCTCCCACTCGACTGCAAGGCCTTGTCTTGAAAACAGATCAACATTTGTTTCCTTTCATACTTGGGAAGAGGGGCACAGCTGTTGTTACACTGACCTTCCTGACATCTTTGGTGCTTTAGAGTAATGGGGGATGTGTACTGGGCTACAATGACGAGGGTGGGTTTGTGACGGTCAGCTTTATGGGTCAACTTTACTGGCCTAAAGGCTTTCCAGCTAGTTGGTAAACATTATTCCTGGGTGTGTCTGTGAGCAATTTCCAAACAAGCAGGGCATCTGAATCACCGGACCAACTAAAGAAGACTCAGTCTCCCCAGTGCGGGTGGTGTCAGCCAATCCGATGAAAACCCAAAAAACAGGAATGCTCTTTCTTTCTGCTTGAGTCCTAACTTCATCTTCTCCTGCCCTTACAGGGTGTGGCCTCAGTTTCTTAGGCCTTTGGGTTCAAGTTCCAGGTTCTCTAGCCTACTTAGTAAATTGTGGGGTGGCCTCCAAGACCTCCAAGGTCAAGTCACATAATAAATGTTTTTGTATCTCCATTTCCCCAGAGACTTCTGACTGGTGCGTGAGAGAAGAGTACACGGCAGTGACTTCCAGGGAATTCAAACACAGCTCACAGCATCCAGCAGACCCCTATGCTTCCACGTCTCCTAGGATAATACCCTCAATGAACACCTCAGCACCCGATTTCACACTAGCTGGCAAGGCATACCGCTAAGGAAGAACCAACCCCCAACAAGTTTCTACCTGTCTTTGAAGAGCAAGTTCACCGTCGAGTTCCCTCAGTTTTCTCTCCAGCTTCCACTTCAGATTCTCATACTGCTCCTGCTGCTGGTCGATTTCATGCCTCCTGCCACTGTGGTGATCAGACATGGTATTCAGAGAGCCATACTGAGTGTTCATACGCATGCACGCTTATACTCTGAATGTATACCTTGCCGGGTGCGCTACACATGGAGCTGCCTGCAGCAGGGGCTTGTAACAGGCCTCCAAGAAGTAGAACTTTTCCTGAATCTGCTGCCGCCTCTAAATGGAGTGTCCAATTGTGCAGCAGAAAACACAACACAGAACCCCAAACTGATGGACTAACAAGAACCAGGAAAAGGGCCAGGTGTGGTGATGCACACCTTTAATCCTAACCCTCAGGAGGAAGGTCAGGCTGAGCTCTGAGTTCAAGGCCAACCCTGGTCACAAAGTGAATTCCAGGACGGCCAGAGCTAAGTAGTGAGACCCTGAGGGGAGGGCGAGAGTTCAGCATCAAACTGCACCACATTTAGAAAATCAAATAGAAACAGAAAATCTCAGCAAAGAAAGAAGCAACAAAGAATCAAATAGAAACTTGATAACTAAAAAGTACAATGACTCTCAGGTCACCGCCCCTCGAGCCTTTAATCGGGGTCCCAGCATTTGTGAGGCAGAGGAAGGCGACCTTTGTGATTTCAAGGCCAGCCTGGTCTATGTAGTGAGGCCCCATTTCAAAACAACAAAAAAGATTTAAGAAGTCCAATAACCTAAACAAAAGGCTCAAATTCTGGGCATGATATCACAATAATTTGACAAAGGAGGGAATGGTGAACTGGTACAGACATTAGACACTACACAACTGAACACAGAGAAAATAAACTAAAAACAACAAACAAAGGGAGCCCCAAGGGTCTGAGGAGTAGTGACAACTGATACTTGTTGAACCCCCAGGTTTCAGGACAGGAGGCAAGGGCAGGGGCCTGACAAAGTATCTGCATATGACTGAAAGGTTTCAGGTTTGTAGAAGAAGGGAAAAGACAGAGTCACAAAAAGACACAAAGTAGCTTTAAACTGTGGGCAGAGGTCAGTGACATCCTCAGGAGCCCTTCCTGACTGCGGATGGCAGGTGCTGCCGGCCTCCACGTCTGACACAACATCTCTGCCACTAGTAGGTGGAACTCGAGGAATGTATTGCGGAAATTTAGCAGACCAGGAGCCTCCACCAACTCTAAAGGTAAGAATGCCACGGATAGCACCTGACATGCTGGGGCAGTGATGCATGCCTTCAATCCCAGCACTCTGGAGGCAGAGGCAGGTGGATCGTTGTGAGTTTGTGGCCACCTTGGTCTACAGAGTGAGTTCCAGGACAGCCAGTGAGATCTTGTCTAAAATACAAAGAAATCTTGGACTGAGATCTAAGGAAAGAAAAATCATAATATTACCAAGTGTCGAGTGGAACATGCATCACTCACTGGGCACCAGAAAAAATCATCGTAGGGGTAAACTAGTTTTAAAAACCACTTCCATACAAGCAGTAGGGATAAATCCTGGTGCCACTGCCAGTGGCCCTGCAGTCTGCCCCAGCCATGCAACACACCTTATTCAGCCTAGATGTAGTAGGGAGGGCCTTGGACCTTCCTCAAAGCATGTGCCTTACCCTCTCTGAGGAGTGGATGTGGGTGGGGATGGGAGGAAGGGAGAGAGTGGGAACTGAAATTGGTGTGTAAAATGAAAAAGATAGTTTGTTTTCTTTTTTCAAAAATAACAATAGCAAAACTCCCCAATAGTAGCTCAAAAATTATATTCAAAGTATCTTATTTGTCCCACACATAATCCTGGAAAACTGCTTCATGGACCACAGGGACATTTCCTTTTACTGAACAGGAGGCCCAGGGTGAGGGCACAGTGGGAGTGGGTGGCTGCCAGCCTGTCAGGAGAAGACTCCAGGACCCTGACATGTGATGCTCACCTGCGGACACGCTCCAGCTCCAAGTGATGCTCCTGCAACGTCCGCTCATGCTGACGCTGCAACTCCTCCACGTGCCTGGCCTCCCTGGAGAGTGCCTGCTTCAGCTTGGCCACCTCTATCTTCAGCTCACTGGCCTCTGCTTGCTGAGCCTCCTCCCGCCTGCGGGCCTGGGTGAATTCAATGTCGTAGCGCTCCAGCTCACGGTCCCGCTCCTCCAGCACTTGAAGGTTGTACACGAAATCCTCCTGCAGGCGCTGCAGCTGCCCTCGTGTCTCCTCCAGATGTTTCTGCGTCATCTGTAGAGCTGTCTCCTGCAGCTGGGCGCGATGGGCCTGCAGAGCTCGCCACTCCTCCTCCTTGCGAGCCAGCAGCTCACTCAGTTCCCGATCTGAACACGGTGGCAGCATGGCAGTGGCTACAGCAGAGACGGCAACAAGGAGCCACCATCAGGGGCTGTAACTTCCTTCCCCGGTGCCACCTCAGGTTCTCTACCATGGGGGGTATGGTCACCCCCAGCTTTAATGTCAGGGAGGTTCAGAACCATGAGGCAGCACCAAGCCCGAGGCCTCCAGGGTTCACGTGTCCCTCATCATGGGCTGCTCCTTTCTGAAGCTCACTCTACAGCAGGAGAACCAGGGAAGGCAGAAGAAGGGAAAAGGGGAACCATGACTTGAACACCTCCAGGAGTTATGTTCTATCAAGCAGCTTTGTGTAGCTCTTACTCCATCTGCACATTAGACATTGAGGCGGCCATATAAGCAAAAAGGTCTTGGAGAGAGCAGGGATACAAGGAACAAACCTAACATAATAAAGGCAATATACAGCAAGCCAACAGCCAACGTCAAACTAAATAGAGAGAAACTCCCAATGATCCCAGTGAACTCAGGAAAAAGACAAGTTTGTCCACTCTCTCCATATCTATTCAATATAGTTCTTGAGGTCCTAGCTAGAGCAATAAGACACCAAAGGGAGATCAAGGGGATACAAATCGGGAAAGAAGAAGTCAAACTCTCACTATTTGGTGATGATATGATAGTTTACATAAGCGAATCCAAAAATTCTACCAAGGAACTTATACAACTCATGAACACTTTCAGTAATGTAGCAGGATACAAGATTAACTCAAAAAAAAAAATCAAGAGCCCTCCTATACACAGATAATAAATGGGCTGAGAAAGAAATCAGAGAAATATCACCTTCACAATAGCCACAAATGCTGTGGGAGGTCCTCTATGTGTTGCTTTTATTGGCTAATGAATAAAGAACTGATTTGAGCCTATGGCAGGGAAGAAGAGAACTAGTGGGGCGGGAGGGGGGACTAAGCTAAATGCTGGGAGGAAGAAGAGCTGAGTCAGAGAGACGCCATGGAGCCGAGACATGCTGAAACTTTGCAGATAAGCCACTGCCATGTGTCGATACACAGATTAATGGAAATGGGTTATACTAAGATGTAAGAGTTAGCCAATAAGAAGTTAACGGGCCAAGCAGTGATTTAATTAATGCAGTTTCTGTGTGGTTATTTCAGTTCTGGGCAGCCGGGACGAACAAGCAGCTGCTGCTACACACGAATAGTACAAAATATCTCGGAGTAACTCTAACCAAACAAGTGGAAGACCTGTGTGACAAGAACTTTATATCTTTGAAGAAAAAAATTGAAAAAGGCACCAGGAAATGGAAAGATCTCCCATGCTCGGGCTGGAGAGATGGCTCAGTGGTTAAGAGCATTGCCTGCTCTTCCAAAGGTCCTGAGTTCAATTCCCAGCAACCACATGGTGGCTCACAACCATCTGTAATGAGATCTGGTGCCCTCTTCTGGCCTGCAGGCAGAGTACTGAAAATACTGTATACATAATAAAGAAATAAATCTAAAAAAAAAAAATCTCCCATGCTCTTGGGTAGGTAGAAATAACATAGTAAAAATGGCAATCTTACCAAAAGCAATCAATCTACAGATTCAATGCAATGCCCATCAAAATCCCAGCAAAATTTTTCACAGACCTTGAAAGAACAGTACTCAACTTCATATGGAAAAGCAAAAAACCCAAGATAGCCAAAACAATCCTGTACAATAAAAGAACTTAGGAGACATCACAATCCCTGACTTCAAACTCTACTACAGAGCTACAGTACTAAAAACAGCCTGGTATTGGCATGAGAACAGACAGGAGGACCAATGGAACCCAATAGAAGACCTGAATATTAGTCCTGACACCTATAAACACCTGATTTTTGACAAAGAAGCAAAACATATAAAATGGAAAAAAAGAAAGCATATTTAACAAATGGTGCTGGCATAATTGAATATCAACATGTAGAAGAATGAAAATAGATCCATATCTATCACCATGCACAAAACTCAAGTCCAAATGGATCAAAGACCTCAACATAAAGCCAGCCACACTGAATTTCACAGAAGAGAAAATTGGCACAGGAGACCATTTCCTAAATTTAACCCCAGTAGCACAGACACAGAGAAACAATAAATTGGACCTCCTGAAAGTGAAAAGCTTCTATAAAGCAAAGGACATGGTCAACAAGACAAAACGACAGCCTACAGAATGGAAAAAGATCTTTACCAACCCCACATCAGACAGAAGTCTGATCTCCAAAATACACAAAGAACTCAAGAAATTGGTCATCAAAAGAACAAATGATTCAATAAAAAATGGGGTACAGACCTAAACAGAGAACTCTCAACAGAGAAATCTAAAATGGCTGAAAGACACTTAAGGAAATATTCAACATCCTTAGTCATCAGAGAAATGCAAATCAAAACAACTCTGAGATTCCATCTTACACCTGTAAGAATGGCCAAGATCAAAAACACTGATGACAACTTATGCTGGAGAGGATGTAGGGTAAAGGGAACACTTCTGCATTGCTGGTGGGAGTGCAAGCTGGTACAACCCCTTTGGATGTCAATGTGGCGATTTCTCAGAAAATTAGGAAACAACCTTCCTCAAGACCCAGTAATACCACTGTTGGGTATATATCCAAAGGATGCTCAATCATGCCACAAGGACATGTGCTCAACTATGTTCATAGCAGCTTTGTTTGTCATAGCCAGAACCTGGAAACAACCTAAATGCCCCTTGACCGAAGAATGGATAAGGAAAATGTGGTACATTTACATAATGGAGTACTACACAGCAGAAAAAAATGACATCTTGAATTTTGCAGGAAAATGGGTGGAGCTAGAAAACATCATTTTGAGTGAGGTAACCCAGACACAGAAAGACAATTATCACATGTACTCACTCATAGGTGGTTTTTAAACATAGAGCAAAGAAAACCATCCTACAATTCACAATCCCAGAGAACCTAGACAACAATGAGGACACCAAGAGAGACTTAAATAGATACAATCTACATGGAAAGTAGAAAAAGACAAGATCTCCTGAGTAAATTGGGAGCATGGGGACCTTGTGGGAGGGTTGAAGGAAAGGGGAGAGGCAGGGAGGGGAGCAGAGAAAAATGTAGAGCTCAATAAAAATCAATAAAATTAAAAAAACAAATTGAAATGGGTAAGTAGCCAAGCCAGGCCTGAGGCTGGCACCTGATTCTTTGCACCATTTTACCCCTGCAGCCAGGACTCAGCCTCCTGGAAGAGTTACCTCATGAGAAGTTCATTCTTTTACTGCCAAGCTATCATGAACTGATATTTTTATAAATAACAGAAATCAGAAATAAATGTTATAAAAATTAGAAAACAAAATACAATATATAAGTCCCATGGATTTTGAGATGGAGTTTTACTAGATTGCCCACATTGGCTTTGAACTCTCAATCCTTTGCGTTAGCCTCCTAAACAGCAAGGGTGAGTGCCACCGTGCCTAAATAAAGTCTGAATTTTTAAAAACATTAGATCCAACATTATAAAACTACTTTTTCAAATAGCTGGTACGTCTTTAAACACCTCTTGCTGGGGACTGAGGACTGAGGACCGGGGACTGGCCCCAGAGGGCAGGGACCGCAGTGACCGCAAACACCGGAAAAGCCTGTTTCTTATTGAGGCACAGTGCAGACTGTTCCTGGTCTAATGCCCTGCCGTCAGCACTCAGCAGAGGAGGGTTCTTCTCTGGACACGGTCAGTCTGAGGTTACTCACAGGGAAGTACTAAGGCCAACAACGCCGGGCGTCATCACCTCGGCCCCACGTCCAAGGGTGTGAAAGCAGCGGCAGGAGAGGCCTTGTCACCTTTGGGAGGCAAAGATGTCTGACTGTCACCCTCTTCCAGTGGTGCTTTCCCAGGGCGCATGGAGACGCCTAGCAGTTATATTTGTGTATCGCTGTCACCCCAAAGAAGGCAGCTGTCTGACTCTCTGCAAGTGGGTCTTCTTTAGGAGGAGAAAACACGCTGCCCCAGGTCACCTCAACTCACTGTCTTATATATATTTACACAGAAGGTGAAAAATGACAGTCAACACACTGAGAGAGAGCCCAAAGTGAAGAACATGTAGGTTGCTTCACTTCTACCCAAATCAACAACAAGCAAGAAACCACAGACATAAAACTCAAAAAACAGGGACAGGAGGACCACAGGGGTTTGCTTTTGTGTTGTGCTGTGTGTGTGGGTGGAGGGGAGGGCATGGGGTATGTGTGGAAGGTGTGGTGCTGTGAAGGTGTGTGTGTTGTGTGGTATAATGTGGGTGAGCGAGTTCGTGTGTCACGGTGTGCTGTGTTACCTGTTTACATCAACTCCCGAGAGCCCCTAAGCCAGCAGCTGCTCTTTATTTAAGCAAGAATACTACTTGGAGAAAATTTCATTCATAAAGTTACTGATAGCAAAAACTAGTTACAGTTGGGCTAGAGAGAGGGTTCAGTGGTGAAGAGGATTTGCTGCTCTTGCGGAGGGCTTGATTCCTTTCCCAGCACCCACACGACAGCTCACAAGTTCCTGTAACTCCAGGTCCAGGGGCTTTGATGTTTTCCTCTGGAGTCTACAGGCTCCTTTGTTATCCATGTCCACAAGCACACACACAGACATAAAATTAAATAAAGATTTCAAGTGTGGTCAAAATCATCTGGACTAAAGAGCCAAGAGTGCATTTCACAGGAGAGAACAGTGTTTCACTGGCTGGTGGCCGCAGCTTTGTGGCAGGTCTTCCTGTAAGTTCCAAACACCTAGAGCAGGGCCTGGCAGGTAGTGAACCAGGCAGTACATGCCAGGAGCTTTGGCCACACAGCAACTCTGCAACTCCAGCCCCATCCTGCTGCTTCACACAGAGGCTCCTATCAGCGCCTAGGTGACAAGCATGGCAAAGTCTCTCAAGGCTGGTCATGGGGAACCCCAACTCTTTAGGGGTCCAAGCATGAGCTGTACACTGGCTGTACAAAGTCCCTGGTCCTAGTGCTCCCCAGGTGACTGTTACTGTAGGTCCCAGAGCTCCAAGTGTCTGGACTGGGGTTTTTGGAGCAGATGACAAACAGGCAGCCTTACTCACCCAAGTGCACAGCTGGCACGAGACCCAGCTTCCCATCAGATCACAGCAGCCTGGCCTCTCGGAGCTGCGGGAGATCCCTCTGCCTGGCTGAGTGCTATCCACTCCACAGCTCTGCTGGCTCCTGCAGCCCTCTCACCAACAGGCCTGACTCCTCACCTCAGCTGCCTCACGGTCCGGCCACCATGCCGTCCCAGCCACAACATACTGCACCTTCAAACTGTGAGCCAAACAACCCCCCTTTCCTTAAACTGCTTATGCCAGAGTAATGAGAAAAGCAACCAACATGCGCCTTTGGACACCAGAAAAATCACTTTAAAATGCCTAAGTAGGGTTGCTTGCTCCACTAGAGCACAGGGTGCCCCACGGCAACCAGCTACCGTTTGCCTCTTCCGGTCACGGGCTACAGAACTTCAGGTTGCTACTCTTCCAACATGGGAACCTGGTTGTGTGATACTATTCTATTTAACATCTGCTGTGGCCCCTGGACATTCTCAAAAATAAGTTTCAGGCCGGGCGGTGGTGGCGCACGCCTTTAATCCCAGCACTCGGGAGGCAGAGGCAGGCGGATTTCTGTGAGTTTGAGACCAGCCTGGTCTACAAGAGCTAGTTCCAGGACAGGCTCCAAAACCACAGAGAAACCCTGTCTCGAAAAAGCAAAAAAAAACAAACAAAAAAAAAACAAAAAAAACAAAACAAAACAAACAAAAAATAAGTTTCAGTTCTTGGGGCTGCACACAGAGACCTGTGGGTTGGACCCGGTTGGCACGGCCTGCTGCAGCACTCTCTGATGGCCTGCTGCAGCGCTCTCTGATGGCCTGCTGCAGCGCTCTCTGGACTTCTAGCTGCTTCCAGAAGGCCAGAGGGCTGATCCTTTTGTCTCTGGGTGTACATGCTATTCTTTGCTGAGGATTTTCTTACTGCTAGGTCTTCAAAACTCAGCAGGTCACCGTCTATGAAGCTTCTGTCCACCAAGCCAGGTAGGTGGTATTTATCCCTGTCATTTCTTCTTTGTTCTCCTAACCAGGTAGACAGTCTGGTGCCCTGTGCTCTACAGTAAAATGGGGTCTCCCTGCATAGACAGCAACACAGTAAGCAGAGAACAATATGATGTAACCCCCAGCTAAGAAATGCAGGAGTAATGGAAAGAGAAAAATATTTGGCAAATATCACATAATTATTTCAGGTCTGAGGCTGCCAGGGGCAGAAGTCACCATGTCTTAGCACGCAGGCGCTCTGACTCCACAGGAGGTCAATGTAAGTGCCAACTCTCTGTCAGTTTCAAACCAGGCCTTGTGGCTTCAGAAAAAAGAATCCTAAGTGAAATAACTAGAAATACCAGAGTGCCTAAGGAGGGATAAGAGACACAGAAAAGCCACCAGATCACTTAATTAGACTGCTGCCTAGCCCAATCGTCATCAGAGAGGCTTCATCCTGTAACTGATAGAAACAGATACAGACCCACAGCCGAATATTAGGTGGAACTTGAGAAATCCCCACAGAAGAGAGGGAGAAAGGGTTATAGGAGCCAGAGGGGTCAAGGACACCACAAGAAAACCCACAGAATCAACTCACCAGGGCTCACAGAAGCTCCAAGAGACTGAACCGACAACCAGGGAGTCTGCATGGGACTGAGCTAGGCCCTCTGCATATGCTACAGTTGTGTAGCTTGGTCCTCTTGTGGGACTCCTAACAGTGGGAACAAGGGCTGTCTCCAACTCTTTTATTGGCTTTTGGGACGCTACTCTTCCTATTGGGTTGCATGCCCAGCCCCAATACACAGGGAGGTGCTTAGTCTTACTGCAACTTGATAGGCTGTATTTTATTGATACTCATGGGAGACCTGACACTTCCTAAACAGAAATAGAGGGGGAGTAGATAGTAAAATGGGAATAGGGGGGAGTTGGGGTGAGGGATTGGGAGGGGAGGAGGGAGGGGAAACTGCAGCCAGGATGTAAAATAAACAAACAAACAAATAAATAAATATAATTATTTAGGAAATGTGTGATGTGGCTGGGAAATCTGCAGCTTTCTGCAGAAAGTAGAATTCTCCCCCTCCCTCCAGACAGGGTTTCTCTGTGTAGCTTTGGAGCCTGTCCTAGAAAGAAATTGGAAGTCTTGAAGGTAAAGTATATCAGAGTGAGAAAGACAAACAGCACAAACCAGCCTCTGCAAGCCAAGATCACAGAGTAAAACATTACTATTTCCAAAAGCTGCTACACATGCGTGGTGGTCTGAATAAGAATAGCCTCCAGAGGTGCACTTATCCGAAGGCTCAGTCGGCACCGCACCGGGAGTGGGGCTGTTTGGAAGGATTACAAGGACTAGGAGGTGTGGCCTTATTGGAGGCAGTGTGTCACTACCAGCCTGGCTTGCTTTGTCTCTCTTTTCTGTCTCTCTCTGTGTGGATAGGGAAGTAACTCTCAGCTACTGCTCCAGCATCATGCTTGCTGCTGTGATGGCAATGACCTTAAGCCTCTGAAACTGTAAACAAGTCCCCAGTTACATGCTTTCTTTTATATGGTGTCTCTTCACAGCAAGAGAGCAGTGACTAAGACAATGGGTTTAAGTTGGACTATTCCAGAAGCCAAGGAGTAAATCCCTGCCTGATCCTCATGGAGGAGTTTCATGACAGATTCTAGGATACAGGTGGAAGGACAGGGACCTTTGAGGTCTGACCTGTGGGGACATCAACAATCTCCATCTCTTCATGAACAGCCTCAGGCCTGGGCCATCCCCAACCCCTTGAGGAGCTGCTGCATCTCCTTCACCTGTCATCCTCATGGAGGACTGTCCTGTCCCCAGAAGCAGCCTGTTTTCTGCAGCTCTCCTAGGGCTGCAGCTGCCAGAGCAGTACTTGAAACCTACTCTGGTCCAGATTCTAAATAAAGACTTGGAAACTGGATCCCAGGTTAGTCTGAAAGGTCTGGATGGTTTGACTCAGCTAACTTGTGATTCCTGTTCTCCACCCAACATAGCAAAAATAAAACGTGGCTGGATGGTGGTGGCACACTCCTTTAAACCCAACAATCAGGAGGCAGAGGCAGGCAGATCTCTGAGTTAGAAGCCAGTCCGGTCCACAGAGTGAGTTCCAGGACAGCCAGGGCTACACACACACACACACACACACACACACACACACACACACACCTGTCTTGAAAAACCAAAAAACAGCCGAGTGATGGTGACACATGCCTTTAATCCCAGCACTTGGGAGGCAGAGGCACGAGGATCTCTGTGAGTTCTAAGCCAGTAATCTGGTCTACAAAGTGAGTTCTAGGACAGCCAGGGCTATTACACAGAGAAACCCTGTCTCAAAAGACAAAAAAAGAAAGAAAAAAAGAAAACCCCAAAAAACAAGCAAAAATAAAGCATGAAATCAGGACGTTTTTGCTAATGTATCCTAAAATTAATAACTGAAAATATGGTTAAAAGCAAGACATTTACACAGTCAAGCACTCATCCACAAGGTATTTATCATTTACAACGGGAAAATATTGGCATAACTTTATTTATTTAGGTTTGCTTGTTCGTTTTTGTTTTGTTTTTGAAACAGCGTCTCTACTTAGACTTGGCTATTCAGGAACTATGCAGACCAGGTTGACCTCGAACTCAGAAATCTGCCTGCCTTGCCGGGGATTAAAGGCGTGGGCCACCATGCCCGGCAGAAAATAGTAACTTTAGTGATGTGGGCACTCGGCAGACATCACTGTCTTCTGGGAGGCACAGGGCGGAATGCTAAAAACGAGTAACTTAATCACGTTAAATATCGGGCCAGCCCAGGATGAGATGCAATCTACAAAATAACGGACTCATGAAGTCAACGAGGGACCGAGGCGCTGTTCCTGGCTGCGGTTCTGTGCTGATTTGAGGGAACCCTGCACGCGCTGCCGCTGCCGGCCGCTGCCTCTTGACGGTCGCCTGGGGCGAAGCGACCTGGGAGCAGGAACCTGATGCGAAGGCCGTGCCACTTACCGCGTGCGCCACCCGGCAGGACCCAGGGAAACCCGCTTCGCCTCCCGGCGCGCGACTGGGGTCCCCCGGATTCCAAGCGCCGATATTCGCCCGCCACACCTAGGGCGCGGGCCACGTTGCCATAGCGACTGGAGTCCGCGGCCTGGGTCCGGGTGCACTCTGAGCGGCGCTCCGGTCCCTCCGGGCAGAAACAGGAACCCCAACACAGAGTTCCGAATCTGTACATGCTGGCACTGAAGGAAGAGATATGTTCCGTTTGGTGACCTGTGGGACTCCCTGACTAGTGCAAAAGCCAGTGAGCAAGGTCCGCACCTATGGTGTCCTGTGCTCTCCCCACAGGTGGCCTGAGGGTTCCCAGGGTGCCCATCTTGTAGCCTCAAAGAGTGGCAGAGTGACTAGGAGCTTAGGTGGAGAGCCTGAAAGTCGGGCGTGGAGGGTTATTCCGGGGATGCTGATCTTTCCTGCATTTCACTGGTGTAGACTGCACATGGGACTGTAGCAAGGATGCACTGGACTGCACATGGGAAGGTTGGAGGGAGGTTGCAACCGGGGCTGGTCGCCAGGCAGAGGGGGCTAAGTTGGTCCTACTTCAGAGCCTTGGTGAGGAGGGACCACAAGAAATCCTCCCCAGGGTTTCCCCTTATATCTCAGGCATCAAAGGGCGAATGTTTCCCCAAGAACCCCAGCTTTCATGGAGCTTGTCCGGTTGTACTAAGAAGAGTTGGATGGAGAGAGGCTGGTTACTGGGAAGAGCCTGCATGGGCCCCACGTCAGACTCACCTCTGTCTCTTTCTTACCTAGTCATTTAAATCTTCAGTGTATCTGAGGGCCAGGAAGATGGTTCAGTGGGTGAGTGACCCACATAGTGGAAGGAAAGATCCAACTCCCATGAGTTTTTCCTCCGATCCCCACATATTGTGGTATGCATGTTCACACAATCACAAACACACAAAATAAACAAATAACAAATAGAATGGAATCCTGATCTCCTTTTCCTAAAGAGGTGAACTGTGGTCTGGCCCTGGGTCAGAAGCCAGCATTGGCTCACACACCTCAACCGGCACAATTCCTAGGGCATGGGGAGTGAATGGGAATCCCCTGCTCCAGGAGGGAGCACCCAGAGGTCTAGCATCATTCCTGCGTCCCTGCCCTACATTCTGTCGTCTCCCTCCACCCCTTCAGTCTTTGCCTTGTACTTTCTGTTCCTACTTCCTGACAGCATACTCTTGGTGCTTGACCTGACCCCTCACCCAGACAGCTTGTCTAGCCTTAGTCCTGCTGCTGTCTTCTCAGTCACATCTGGATCTCCTGGATCCCTAAGGGCCTTTTGTTCTATGCGAATGTGACACAGGCCCAGCTGTCAGTTCTTTGGTATCTCATGCAGAGCCCCTGCCTTCGCTAAGGAGCCCAAGAGTCAACCCCAAGCCAGACGTATCCACAAATATGCTCACACCCTTGTCTCTGCCTCACCCGGTCATATTCCTGGGAGCTTCCCAAGGTGATGGGGGAACTGGGTCCCCACGTACATACAAATGTCCAGAGAAGGCTGGGAGGACCCAGCCTAAGCTGGGTGCTCAAAGCAGGGCTAGACTACCCACAGGGGAGCCAGAACATGTAGCACTTGAGTTCTCTGAGCCTTAGTTCCCTTATCTGTGAAATGGGGGTCTGTAAAGGCCTTCATGTTATGGATGGAAGCGGGTTCCCTGGAATCCATATTTTAAATTCCTATTCCCCAAACTGACTACATTTGGAAGTTAGGGCTTTAAGGAGATAGTTACTGAAAAATGAGGTCATCAGGGTAGGACCCCCATCCCATAGGACAGCCATCCCTTATAAGAAGAGAAAGAGACACAAGGAACACAGTGAAAGGCCAAGTGAGGACATAGGAAGAAGGGGCCATCTGCAGGCTGAGAAGAGAGGCCAGAAGAAACCAGCCCTGCTGGCTTCCGACCTCAGACTTTCCTCTCCAGAAATGAGAGAAAAGAGAGTCTGTGAGGCCCCAATCCTTGGCGTATGGCTCTGGCAGCCAGAGCGAAAACACCACATAACAGGAAATGTGCTTGGAACAGTGGCTGGGTAACCCAGACGTTATAGTGACTATGGTCATTCTTGCAGCTCAGCCACATGCCCTGGTATCTAAGAACAGAAGCAGGGGTGCCATCCAGGTCTAGAAGCTGTGGTAATGACCCACAGCCTTCATTCTAAACTGGGGTGCCCTGGCTGATAACTCCCCAATGGCTCGGACTAAGGTTGTATCCCCTTCAACAATTCTGCCCTACCAGATACTCCTTGCACCCCGAAATTCCTTTCAATACTTCGCGAGGGTCCTGGCTCATATTGTCACACCCTGCAGTCTCCCAGATGGCCACATCCCAGTGTTTCGGCATTACCTTCAAGGCAGAGGATGTGCTGGAGCCCTTGACACCTCCAGGCTGAAGAAGGCTGTCCCCTGAGCCCTTTTGCACTTCACATTTCACTTTCGCCGTCAACCCCTTCTTAGCATCACTACCCAGGTGATGGCTAAGGATATGACATTTACCCCACTCCCTTGGAGGACAGTGCAGCTGGGGCTCATGGGTGAAAGACAGACCGATAGATGTATGAAAAGATACTTAAAATTTTTTTTGCAGTATCTTTAATTTTCAACATTTTTTTTTAGTATGTTCTGTCTGCATGTATGCCTGCCCACCAGAGGCGGGCACCAGGTCTCATAGATGGTTATGAGCCACCATGTGGTCGCTGGGAATTGAACTCAGGACCTCTGGAAGAGCAGCCAGTGCTCTTAACCTCTAAGTCATCTCTCCAGCCTGATACTAACTTTATTTTTTTTGTTTTTGTTTTTCGAGACAGGGTTTCTCTGTAGCTTTGGTGCATCTCCCAGAACTAGCTCTTGTAGACTAGGCTGGCCTCGAACTCCCAGAGATCTGCCTGCCTCTGCCTCCCGAGTGCTGGGATTAAAGGCGTGTGCCACCACCGCCCGACTCGATACTAAACTTTTTGTTGTTGTTTTTCGAGACAGAATTTCTCTATGTAACAGCTCTGGCTGTCCTAGAACACACTTTGTAGACCAGGCTGGCCTCAAACTCACCGAGATCCACCTGCCTCTGTCTCCCAAGTGCCGGGATTAAAGGTGTGCTCCACCACTGCCCAGCAAACGATACTAAACTTTCCTCTCACCGTTCTGGAGAAACCAGGGTGCCGTCAGGGACACACCCACACCAGAGGCTCAAAGGGACCATCCTCCTAGGGTCTTTTAGCTGCTACAGGTGGCAGCCATCCTTGACATCCTTGACTGCAGGTGCAGCGGTGGTCATGTGACTTTCTACACTATGACTCTCTTCACTGACTGCTCTGCTTAGGATGGAAGTCACATTGGATCAGGATGTACTCGGTACAGTGTAACCTCATCCTAACCAATTGCATCTTCAGGGATCCTGTTTCCAAGCAAAGCCACTTTGAGGCACAGGTGTCCAGTGCCTGTCTTTTGGGGAGCTAGCATGTATCACAATATAGACCGTTGTGACTGGGCCTGTGCTGGGCTCCAGTGGCCATTCTGCAGATGCAGAGAGTATCTTAGGGTAAGGAATACTGCCTGGGCCATCATGAGCAGTGCAGTCGCACGCTGCCTGTGCTCCTGTGCACAGACCAAGCCCCTGTCCAGGTATGGACAGAAGCCAGCTGTCCTCTCAGACCACCTGGCATCAATGCCACCGTCCCGCGCAGATGTCAGCACCGTCTCTGAGTGGCAGGTGCGTGGGTTCCAGGGTGGGATGAATAAGGACGGGTAGGAAGGCTGAAAGGCTAGAGTTAAGCCAGCACTCTGGGATGCCAGAACACAGGCTGACTTGGTGGACACTTACTGACCACTGAGTGAGCAGCTTAACGCGGTAGCTGGCAGCCTCCTAGGACAATACCCTGGGGACGAAAGCAGCACCAGAGCTGCCCGAGGACTCTTGGTCGTGGCCATTGGCAACTTGGGAGCCCTTCCTTTGACTTTTGGGTGTAGGTCAACCTTGTCATGGCACCTACCCCGACACATACACACACACACACACACACACATGCATGCACGCACGCACGCACGCATGCACACACACATGCACGCACACACAGAGCTGTCTGCCTTAGGACTCTAGGCCTTTTGGGGGCCACGATAGCACAGAGATCCGGAACCAGAAGTAATGTAGGGCCTTGCCTGGGCACGGACCTGTATGGCCTTGAGCAAGCCACTTCCCTTAGGTTCAGGAAATGGCTGTGTCAAGCTTGCTGAGGCAACTTCCCCATCTGCCAGAGGGCAGGAGGTGAGCTGAGAAATGAAGGAGATGGAAGCCCCCTGTTTCCTGGACCTCTGTCATGGTGACAGTGGGTGCATCTATTTGGCCATGTTCCCTACAAGGGAGTACCAGCTGCTGAAATAGTGCACCTTCTCATGACATTCTGACCAGAACTCCAAATAAGAACTTTGAAAAAACAAACAAACAAAAACCCAATTGACTGCTCGGAAATTGTTCGCAATTATACTAGACAGTAATTGTGGAACTTAACCACCACTTAATTTTTGCAGGATCCCATTAAGAGACCATCACCCCATGACAGTGGGAAGCAATTCTAAAGGACGATGCCCCCTATCCCAAAAATGTTTGTCCTTAGGGTTGGGAACACTGTTTACGGGTTGTTGATTATTACTTGTACTAGATAAAGGGTTGGGGTGAAAACTATGTTTGTTTTTTTTTTTTAAAAAAAAAAGGTTAATAATAGTGGGTAATAGAGTGAATACTTGTGAGCTATTATTCGTGGGTAATTTACATTGGTATAGTTTTTGTATATTGATACAAGTTCAAATTATATTTGTTATTTTTGTTTACATTATTTGTACACCTATGCAAAGTTATTCTGTCAGATTGTATAGATGTATGTTTTTTTATCTCTGTTTAGGACATTTTGTATGTTGATGCAACTTTTAGGATATATTTTCTTTTTTTTTTGTTTGTTTGTTTGTTTGTTTTTGGATTTTCGAGACAGGGTTTCTCTGTAGCTTTTGGTTCCTGTCCTGGAACTAGCTCTTGTAGACCAGGCTGGCCTCAA